GTGACAAGGAATTTTGAAACTACTCACAAAGCTAATTAACCTTCCCACCATCCATATAAGGACAACTCATGAAATAAGTGGAGAATTCTTGATATGATAGAAAGATTCTCATCAGTATTGGGGACCTATAGGATTAACTTCAATGAGGAATATATTAGATATGGATCTATCCCTTCCGAAAGATTTATCAACTTCATATTACATATATATGGAATTCGAATTTACTATGTGAATATTATGATCAATATAGAATCTGTCTCTGAAAAGCTATGTCAACTTCATTATCCTTATCCAATTCAATTAATATTGCTTTCAACTTTTTTAAACGTGCAATATCATAAGAATGGACTGTCCTTGAAGTTATAGGAATTACTGGTTAGACTTCCCACCATCCATCTTTCAAGCTATCAACCAAGTTGCATTGCTCTTCTCACCGTTAGAAGAGCTCCCTTCCCTTCTTCATTATTTGGAAAAAAAAAAAAAAAACCTTACAAAACAAGCCTTGACTTCCTTGTTAAAGATTAGCTAACCCATTACTGAGGTTTGACAGTGGTAACTGATGACGGATCAGATATTTCACAGAGACTAGAATTGAAGGAAGTTAAAGAAAGTAGTGAAAAGGTAGAGAGAAATCAAAGATGAAGAAGTATATTCTGATTTTCATATTTGTTAAGAATGAATTACAGTATACATTAGCATACTTATAGTATGCTTACTTAAAGCTTAAGTAAGCTATTAACAAACTAACAAACTCTTACCAGTTTCTAATAACTAACACGTGAAATACATGTGAAGCCTGCTGACTGTACATATATGGTCATCAATAACTTGAGTGAGGAATATTATATGTATTGCAAGTGTTTGTGAAAGAAGTTAAAAAGATCCTCTAACAAGAAAGGCCACTACGACTGTATTGTCTCTCACTGTAGAATATTATTTCTAGAAGATAAAATGTCTAGAATTTGATCAATATAGAATCTTTATTATGCTCAGGGTATCGGCCGTTATAAAATATCTTCTGCTTTTGCCCATGCAAGCAACAAGTATAAAAGGGGACCAACCATGAGGCAATGAGTTGATCATCAGAGCAAACACACACCATAACCTAAAAACTAATCATTGAGAGAGATAATGACGTCGAATCAAGATCAAACCAACTTTTGCAACCAAGGCTGTGTAGGGTTTAGGGGTGGGGACAATGAAATCAACCCCAAATCCTATCTTAAAAATTCCAACCCCAAATCTATCGGAATTCGGGGTGGCGATGTTGAAATCAGAGCGAAGGGCGGTCATCAGTTGAGGGGATATTCCAATTCCAACTTCAACAACGGATTTGATGTGGGCGAATCGCGCATCGCTAAAATCCAAGCTAAGATCTCTGTGGAGGACTTTGACTACTCGAAGGGATTTGCCAACTCCAACAAAAGAGCGGGTCATGGTAAGAGCGGCTGGGAGTGGTGAGGTGACGGTGGATGAGGGCTAGTGGCTGCAACCCATATTGAAAGGCCTACATCCAATTTAGGACGATAAATATTCTTTTCAACACACCCGTACTTTTCTTTACATCATTTGCTTGAAGACCAAAAACTTACCATTTGGTAAAGAAGGATTAAAAAAAAAATTATGAGAAATCATTGTAAGTCACATCCATTTGGAGAATCAGCTCAATGACAACTTTGCATTTCCACTTTTGCGAAAAGCGGAATGAGAGCTGATATTGTTTAATGATTTTTTTAAAAATCCCTACAATGTCCCTGTTAACTTTAAACAATTTATATTAATTATCCTTCATCTTCTTTCTCACATATCCGCACGATTCCTCTCCCCCACAAGCTCTTTGTGGTATGATATTTCTCACTAGGGTTCTTTAATTTTTATTTTCAAACAATATTCAAATGTGGGCTCTTGATTTGTATGTCAAATTGGGGCCTGAATTTGACTTGCAGGCTTTGGTTTGGGAGACTTCAATATTAATGTTTTTAAAATTAAAATTGCAAAGCCCACAGAAAGACGAAACAAAACAGGCCAGGCCCAATTCTACAAACACTGACTCGTAGCTCACAAAATCGTTCCACGTATCAAGTCCCTCATCCGCACACTTCACCCTCTAAATCCCTCTCTTCTCTCGGCTCTCTGCGAGAGAAGGTGGAACATTTTTCTAGGGTTTGTGAGCTGAAACTTCAGTTACCGAACAGTGAGAGTGGCCTTTGATTGATTAGGGAACATGTCTTCTCTGGGAACTTCAAAGGGAATTCTAGAGATCGCAAAGTTTGGGCTCTACGTCTCCGTCCCCATCGTTCTTATGTACACCTTCGCCAACAACACTACGAATCTCCAGAGATTCATGGGAAACGTAATCTCTCTCTCTCTCTCTCTCTCTCTGTTACTGGTTTTGTATTAGTATTAGCTTTTTTATGTATAACGGAGCAAGCTGTGAATTTAAATTGTTCGAAGTTGAGGTAAGAGTAGATCTGAAATTGCAGTATCATTATGGGAAAAATCTGTTTCATATTGAAAAATTTGCTTGAATTCTGATGTGGGTTTTATTAATCTAGCATGTTGCAGTGATTCAATTGAACCCTTTGAAGTTGAGGTGATATTGTGGGTAGAATCTGTTAGATACTGAAAAGTTTGCTTGAAATGTGATGCGGGTTTATTGGTTTTGAAATTTATGGTGTGGTTTAATTTAGCCGAGAGGGAATGGATGTGATATTCTAGTTCATGGCATAAAGGGGCTTGCTTTGCTTGTATAGATTTTGATATGATCTGAGCTATTAGGTTTTGGTCTGCAGCATTCTTATGTTGTGTATCCACCTGAAGCGCCGAGACCTCCGTCACCAGAGGAAATGAGAGAGATGGCGCGAGAACTAGCTAGGAAGAACAATGCCCGTTGATGCTTTGTTTGGGGTTCTTTTCTTTTGTAACTTGTAAGTGCCTGCTATAGAGAAAACGAAAAAATGCTGTGTTTTGCATTTAGATTTCAGTCGAAATAATGGTGAGGCCAAGTGGGTTTTATTTCAAGTTCTAGTGTGGCCTTGTAAATACTACTTAAAATTTCAAATCCACTTTGCCCATTTCATGCTGTGTGTGGAGGACGAACGAGCTTTTGTGACTCAGGATGTAAATTATATGTTGTGATAAACCATGGATGGATTTGAAAGTGACCAAACATATACAATATTCCTCATGTACTATTGAACTTTCATTTTCGTGTTCTTTGTGGAGCTGGAATCTACTTGAAAATGAGTTCTTTTGGTTTGCTTTTCTGGGTTGTGCTTGAGTGAAGCTGGAAGGTTGAATATCTGGATTTACTGTTAAATTTCATGCCTTAGCTGTTCATTAAAAACTATTGATATTGGGTAGACATGAGCTTAGTCAAGTTGGCTGTGCACTCGAGTTTGAATCCCACCTAGTTTAGATTATATTAAAATAGAATATGGTTTGTATTAAAGAACTGTTCGTTAAAAAAAAAAAAATTTATATTGGAGGCAGTGATGATTTTGGTTAGGCTTATTTTTAAGATTATAGAATGTGTAAATTGGGTGTGTTGAAAAAAAAATCTTTATTGCCCTAAATTGGATGTAGGCCTTCATGCCAAAAATAAAAAAAGGTTTTTTTTATTTATTTATCACAAATGGTCTGTGAGGTTTTCGAAATTATCACTTTTCATCCCTAACGTTTTTTGTGACACTAATGGTCTTTAAGGTTAGTCTTCACGCATCAAAATGGTTCTTGCCATTAGTTTTCGTCAGATTTTCTGTTAAGTTGATGATGTGGAACATGTGTGAAGCCTACACATCCAATGGTATAGCGTCACATAGTTTTAAATATAATATAATATATATTTTTAATATTTTTAGAACTTAAAATTTATAAAAAATATAATTTTAAAGCAACTTAAATATTTTTTTTATCTATATATATATATATATATATAAAGAACAATATAGAGAGTGATGAAAAATTAAAATGACAGAAAATGTTGTTGGTTAGC